ATTTAAGTTTAACATTAGAAATTGTAGTGCATGTGAATCATATTATCTGTCAAGTTTGCAGCCATCTTAATACTGGGTTAAATTGAACTATATCATATATTTTTCTGCAAATAAGTCCTTTTTAAATTTAATCACACGATATTATGGTTCAAATTGAACGGAAACAGGGTTGAATTTAACACAATTTTAAGATTAAAACCATGGTATTACGGTTCACTATACCGACATTATGTTTCAACGCTGAGCTAACTTTTTTGGGAGAGAACTGAATAAAATTATGCCTTTTCAGTTTGAAACGAAGTTAATTGATTTAAAATTTGAAAGCAATGTTAATATCTTTCATTTTAATAAATTTCATAAGTGTGCCCGCAAAATTGATAGGTAAACCTGAATTTTGTCGAAGCAATAAGTTTCAACAAAGCACGCTCTAACCTGTAATATTTTATTGCTCATAAATGTTAATCTTATTTAAAATTAAGTATTATCATAATTTAAATTCGTAATTACCTGTTTTTATAGTATTTGCCAGAAATAAGCCCACTAAGTTTGTGAAAATTGCTTTACAATTTAGTACTATTAAACTTTAAAAGTGTTACTGTGCAGAGATGCAAACTTCATTTCAATTATTAGAGTAACTCTACTTTATCCTGTAACCGCATTTTTATAGCGAATCAAACAAAATTGCATTGCAACAAAACCGAACAATGTAATACTTCGCATCCTAAAACTATCCCTCAAAATCTTTACTCGCGAGTATTTTAACACCTTCACAAACATGACCAATAAAATCACGAAAAGAGGGCTCCTGCCGGAACGGTGATGGTTTACACGGGATGCTGGTCTACATTTCCCAAATTCCTGGATGACGTGGTTACCCAGGGCAACCGTAACCAGGGCAACGTAAGGAGGAAGGACTGCCTAAACTAATCATTTATGAAGGTGGACAATCTTCTTTGGGGAGGGCGGCATCGTGAGAAGAATATTTACAATCCCCGCTGCAATGATTTTTGGACGAGCGCTTTCACTGAAAAAGCACACAATCCCTGAGATTCGTTTTCAAAAAAGAATCAGTGATACAATGAGTTATCTGTTTTGATTAATGCATTTCAGTTATTTTACCTAGTAAATCTGGAGATACTTTAAAATGGGCTTTGTTTTCTTTTAAATATTTTCTTTCTTATGGCGTTATTGTTTTTGTATATTGAAATTTTAATTCAAAATACAGAGTAAGTCCAAATGAATGACTTGGATGATTCAGGGGATAGAGCGTTCGCCTTCCAATGAGGTGAACCGGGGTTCGATCCCGGCGATGGATGATCGATATGAAATCTGTATCGAATCATGGGTTAGAGTTCCCTTGCCGTCAGGCTAACCGTGGGAGGCTCTCGTGGTCTTCCTCTCCATGTAACGCAAATGCGGGTTAGTTCCATCAAGAAGTCCTCCACGAAGGCAAATTTCTCCCAAGTCTTGATCCAGGAGTTTGTCTTCTGGATTGGGTTTAAAATTACAAGGCTACGGAGTTGAACATTAGTAGTCGTAAACCCAAAAATTGGGTCAGCTGTTCAACGACGGTTATAAAATATAAAATAAAATAAATGACTGGAGGCGTGGGGGGAATAGAACGTACTAGGTGATCGAGGTAACCCAGGTTCGAATACCAACAATGGTTGGTTGATACGAATACTGCTGTCGTCTCGCACCGACTCCATTACTGACGTAAAATATCCCTAGTGGTAGGCGGATCATGGGCTAGAATCCCCTTGTTTTATTGCTAACTAGAGAAAGTTTTCATGGTTTTCTCTCTCCATGTAGTGCAAAGACAGGTTAATTCTACCAAAAAGTTCTCCATGAAGTTGGACATGGTTGTCCCAATTCTTGATCCTGGAGTTCCCTTGTCTTCTGGATTCAATTTAAAATTACAAGGCTACCGAGTTGAGCATTGTTAGTCGTAAACTCAGAATTGGGTCGACTGTTCAGCTTCGGTTATAAAGCAAAATGACTGACTGAATTTCAAATATTTGCGTTTTTGAAACAATTTTACATGTTACAATAAATGGTATAAGAAATTAAAGAAAAATATACTAGTTTTTCTAAGTTATAAATTATGTGTAACCATTTGTTACACGGTAAACAACTAATCTGTAATCAAGTTCATTCCAAAACTTCGTATTTTAACATTGTCAACGGTACTAAATGACTTACAGAAGCGATCATTAAGTTTTTTCAATTCTTTCGGCATAGGAGGTTTACAAACAAAGTCTTTTAATTAAGCTCAAAAAGGGAAATCACATGGCGTTAAGGATTAGGTATCTAAGTGACCATGTAATTAAAAGTAAATCCCTAGCCACCCGAACGTCCAAAATATTGTTTATAAATTACCATTGCCTAAAGAATTTGCATAATAATTTTTTTTCGAGAAAATATCGTGAGAATAGCTTCGAAATTTTTCCCAAATTATAAATTATGGATTCGAAACTATTTATACACATTCCTCTTTATAATAAATCAACTACATGTCAATAATAAAATGTAAGTTTTCTTTTCTTTTACGTTATTCTATGCTTATCTCTGAATTCTAATAGAATAATTCAAGGATACGAAGTCGAGGAAAGCTGTTAATTGGTTGATTTTTTTTAAACGAAAAATATTTTTCTTTAAATGAGCATTGCAATCATAAGTTTCACATTTAGTCTCAAAAATGACACGATAATATCTTCAGATTACTGAAATGTTTCGTTGGTTGACAGCAACACTTCTTTTAAGTTACAAAAAAATCCTTCTACTTGATATCAGATGAATATTTTAACGTTTTATTTTTTTCCCTCCGAAATAACTAAGTTAGTGTAAGGCTTTGATAGCTATTTTCGTTAATTTAAAAAGCAATCAAATAAAACTTTTAATGGGATTTATTTGTTATTTTTTATCCTTTAGATAAAAGGAGTAAAAGTACAGTGAGATTAATTTTGAAACAGTTTAACATTATTTTGAAACAGTGTTCAGCTTTTTTCTCTAACATCACAGAATCACTTAAATCTTTTATAGTAATTGAAAAAAAAGCATTAGTAAATTATTAAATAAGTATTGTTGATGATTTTTAAACTTTATAACTCTTTTTTTTAAAGGTTTGGTTTAGATAACAAGTTTTTCACTTAAAAAAAAAAATTTTCTTACAGATATTTAGAATACTTCTCTACTAATAATATTTTTTAAGCTGACTTATTTGCAAAATTTTAAGATTTCGAATTTTGAAACATTATTTTAAATGTACTTTGACAAAATTTAACTCTCCATTCTTCTAATTTTAGAAAGGGCACTTCATTCCTACAGCATTTTTTTAAAAAAGTAAATTCTCTTTAAAACTGAAGTAAAGGGAAGATTAATACGTAATATCTCTAAATTTAGAGTTATAAAATTCTATTTTAACGCGTCTTTAAAATCAATAGCATTCTCTTCCTATGAATATTTTTAAATAAATAAAATATATTTTTTCACCTTTCTTCAAATTAAACCTCACATTAGATCTCACATAAGAAATGTATACTGCTACACTTCCTTTTTATTGAGACAAAAATACAAAATTTTGTTTGTTACTATGTCCGTTGTCACAACTATTTAATAGATTTTTAATGCTATTTCACCAAATAAACTAAAAAAGTGATAATTTGAGTGCCTTAAACTTAAAGCAAAGCTTTTATTTCTAACCGTATTTGCTATAATTCTGAGTAGAACTGACTAGGCTTAGGCAAACAAATATAATCACTAAAAAAAATTTTTTTTTCCTTTAAAAGTTGCCAATTTTGCGAGGTCCTAGATTTTAGATTTCAGCATAGCTTTATAATTTTAAACATTGTAGTGGTTAAGCAACTTTCAAAAATTAGGAAGTCAGATCTTGTAAGCTTTTCACTTTCCAAAAGCTTGTTTTTCGTCAGCTTGACACTTTGCATCATTTTTCATAATCACAGTAGATGCCACTGGACGGAGAAAAAAATTATGGAAAAAATACCATACTCTATAGTAATGACATTTTTGGTTTAAAAAAAACTAAAATTCCGGTTAATAAAAATCGAAATAATGGTATTTAAATTATTCATTTGATGATTTTTCTATTCATATGATAATGGTTTACCGGAAACTCTGGTTTTTAAAATTATAGCTTTCATTACCACACATTTAGTAAAAAATGCAAAACTGAAAAGTAAATTTAACCGAATTAATGGTTTTTATGCCACGCTTTAACATATCATGATAAAATTACCAGATTGTATCACATATTAAAAAACTATATTTTATTAACTATATTATATATAATTAATTATTAACTATATTATATATATTAAAACTATATTATATATTTTATTGTTAATTATACCAAAATCATTACTAAAACGCTTCGGTAAAAACTACCGAGCTTTTCTGTATTTCCATAGAGCCAGAAACGCGATAAATTTTGCCATGCTCTCGTAGTTTTGACCATACTATTTTTCAGTGTGGCTAAAGGAGGGCAGAAATGAACGTAATATTTATGAAACACTGTTAAGTCATAAAAGATATAAAAATTTGATATTTTTTCTTTTAAAGAAATTATTTTTTTAAAAAAACCCTTCGAAGATTGTTTTAAATTTCTGTTAATAAAAGAGTGAACTTGAAGAATTTTTATTTTGTTCCATTAATAAAGTTCCATCAATCAGTTCCATCAATGGGTACAATAATGGAAGAACTTGCGGTTAGAAAGTGGTAACTCTCATCTTACAAAAAAGTTGCTTACGTACTGTAGCCAATTATATCCAATAAATTTCATTCCGTTGGTGTTTGTCGGGAAGTGGCAATACAATACTGTTACACTATTATAACCAACTAGACTTCTCTGCAATATCTGTTACAGGAAAATCTGAACAATAAAAATATGGGTTATCACTTTTTACCGTCGAGGTCTTCAATTTGTAGAGAATACTTGCTTTTTTTTAATTCTTTTATTAATGGTGTATATATCTTTTCTGCAGGTACTACGAGACGGGGTCTATAAAGCCGGGAGTGATCGGGGGAAGCAAACCAAAAGTGGCAACTCCGAAGGTAGTGGACGCCATCGCCAACTACAAGAAACAAAATCCGACCATGTTCGCCTGGGAGATCAGGGATCGGCTGCTCGCTGATGGCGTCTGCGACCAGGACAACATACCTTCCGTCAGTTCCATCAATAGGTACAACTTTTATTTTTACTCTTCATAATTAGATTCGAGTCAGTTCTGTTGACTTGAGTCAATTGGTTCCAACATTATCCATTTCCTGATTCAAATTTTGATTTGATTGTGTAATGTTTTCGAATGTAAAGAATTGTATCAGGTTATTTGAGCAAGTTTGTTCGAATAATTTGGTTTGAATAAGTAGATTCATTCATTTAAAAAGTGTTCGATTTGTCTTTTAAATACATCTAGTATGCAGTTTTAAGTATACTGGTTCGAAGTAGCTGTTATAACCTGCTCGCTCAAATACATTGATTCGAATGATTTGATCCCAAATTTATTATTTGAAGATATTTTGATTCGTTAATGAAATCTTTTAATTCAAGTTGATTGAATCGAGTCGCAAACCCAAATACTGCATTCATTGTATCAAATGGACAAACCTAGATTAAATAAACAAAGGTTGATATGAAGGCAAACATGCTTTAGGCTAGTGATTTGAACTACTGTTTTTATTCAAAGATATCACTTAAATAGACTGATTTATTTGCTTTGAATTATTTTGATGATTTCCTTTACGCAGAAACAAACGAAGCCCCTCTGTGGTCTTGTTCAAGATATTTTCTGACACCACATGAAGAATGTTTCTAAAATAAAGCTAAGCAAGAGTGCGTAGTATGCAGACACTTAAAGGGTTAGCTTTCATAAATCATACTCTCCCAATTGTCAGTGTGTGGATTTAGATTTAATCAGGACGAATACTCTGCCTATGTACTAACCCTTACGGTCCATTGAAAATATTACATCACAGACCGAAAAACCAACAGTCTCGAAGTTTTACCCCAATTACTTCTCTATTACTACCTTCCTCTTTGGCGGGGTGGATTTTCGGCTACCGTTGGCAAGAATCGAATGTCATGTAACACGTGGGGTGGTTAGGAAGGGATGGATCTATGGATAATCCATGATAAGCTAGCTCTTACCAGAAACATGTTTCTAGATACGCAATCCCCCGACCCACAACACCGATTACGTGTTGGACTTTCTGGTGTGGGGCGGCTTAGCTTCGGAGCTCCCCCCAACCACGCGCGCGCCCCGGACGAATTAATAAATATTAGCGGGAGCGCGAGGCTGACAGGGCTTCATGGGCCCCGGCATTTTGATGAATGCGCTCTGTCTTTTCCTGTGACCGTGATACTACTGGATGAAGAGCAGAGATTCCGCGGTTTTATGATGGAGGTGGGGTGGTAGAAAAGTTCGAAAGGGCGTTTCGCGAATGTTTGGATTTGCGAAAACTCTGAAAAGTTTGTGATGTGTGCATAAAGTGGTCGGTTGTTGAAGGTGCTTGTTTACGTAGCAAGTGGAATTAGAGTTTAGAATGGCTAATTTGATCTGTTAACTGTAGTTATTAAATTGAAAGTATATTAGCTTAATCCCGTGAAAAGGAAAGAGGAGTAATTTCCAAATCGGTAGATGCATTAGGTGTTAAAAGTAAAGCTATTAAATTTGACGCTTATCTGAAGAACTGAGTGAAATCCTGTGCAATAAGTATTTATTTAGAATATTAATGAAAATATTTTTAGCTAAGTAAAAACAAAAATACTAATGAGAAAATTTTTTAATTCTTTTTTAAACCAAAAAAATTGAATGCATGGAGGATTTATTCAGTATTTTGTAATGAAAAAAAAGAATTTGATCAGTCTTTAAATAAAAATAATCAATGAAAAAGTGTCGATTACTATTTACTATCTATTACTTTTACTAGCGATTACTATTTACCATCTATTACTCTTTACTATTTATTACTCTTTAGAAAAATAAATCTTAAAATGTTGTGCAAGAAGTATTTGCTCTAGACAGAAGCATTTGCATTAAACATATTTTAATTATTTAACCAATTACTTCCTAAACCGAAATATTAGATGAATTTTGAGGCAGAGGGTACGTTTCTTGCTTTCCAGTTGTGAAATTACACAAAATAAGTAAACAAACTAAATAAACTAAACTCAGTAGAGTGACAGCCCACAGTGGGCCAAGGCCTACTGTGCCCATCTCCGTTTTCTTGACCTTGGGATTGGGATTGGGGGTGCAGGAGTTGATGTTCCGGTTTGGTAGTCAGCTGAACGCGGAAACCCCAGTATTTAGTCTCCAAGCATACGTGGTACTCATTTTATCGACCCACTGAAAGGATGAAGGGCTGAGTCAACTTTGCTCGGCCCGAGGATCGAACCCAGGACCTGTGGAGCGAGTGCGGATATAAACACTTCGATTGAAATATCGTATAAACCGATTTATTTTAGTTAAATAATTCTGAAAATGACGCTTTTTAAATACCTGATTAAAAAGTGCATTTTCAATAATTTGTATGTAACGAAAGCCTTGCGAAATTCGTATCTTTAAGCTCCAAAATTTACTGAATATGCGCTTATAATGATTTGTATTAAACACAACTGCAAAAGAATGTGTTCGATGACGCTCAACATTTTGGTCTTTTCATGCACTCATAACAACTTGTATTAAAAGCATCTGATTCAGAAATTGGCACTAACGTTCAAAAATTTACTGTGAACAGAAAGTCCTTTTTGAAAAGAGAATAAAGTAGACTTCTTTTTCTTCATTTGATTCGGGAAGCGAAGCAATTCGTCTGAGGGATTCAGTCTCTCCCTTTTCTGTCAGGAGATCCGAATCTTCGCTCAGAAATAATAAAAGGAGGGGGAAAGTGGGTCTGCTATTTTAAATGGAAAGCTCTACGGCATCGAACCTCCCAAATCATGCAACTACCGCTCAATGCGAATAAATAAAAATAAAAAAGTGGAAAAGCGTCTCGTTAACAGTCTGAGGAAAAGTGACGTGAACATAAAATGAACGGAATTTCCATTCAGAAATTCCGTCTCTCAATCAATTCCGTGATCACTGTTGATGGTGTTCACAAAAATAATTGCTGATTTAATTCTTGAAAACAAAATACTATTTTTTGTTGTTGCAAATTTTGGTGAATAATATCGTTAAAATTTGCAACAACCATACTGTGATGCAAAATGAACATAGTAATCGAACAATTTAAACATGATAACACGATACTATGGTTCAAGATGAACAAAAACATGATCCAATTTAACACTTAAAGTTCAAAAGCACTAGCAAATTTTTACCACATTACGGTTAAAGATACCGATATTATGGTTCAGCGTTGAGCTAATTTTTCTGAAAATATTAAAAAATTTTAAAAGCCATTTATTTCCCATACTTTTTTTACCACACGATTTTCGTTACATTTAGGCTCTTTTTAATGGTGTTATAAATAGTTAACAGTTGAACTTTTATACCAGAATGTTTGATTCAAAATGTATTGCAGTTTGACAGCTTTGTTAAAAATAAATACTGTTGCCGAACTGAAAATTCAAAATAATATCGCTACATCACCGTACTGCCCTTCACCTCATTAACTTTCAAACTTCTACATCCTTATTCTCCTTCCTTACCACTACAGCCTGTTACTGGCCTAGGCTGTTTGTTCTCCAACGATCTTCCAGCGTGTTACCACGATGTCATTTACGCTTTTTTTTCTTCTAAAAATTAGCTATTCAGCTGAAAAAAACTCATTCGTGTGCCATGGAGAGAAAACCCCGGAAAATCAATCACAACCAGCTCCATTGCAAAGGGATCTAACTCACCACCTGTTTACCACTAGAGAAGTTTTACTGTGTTCGATATGAGCCAAAATTAGAATTTGAATCTACTTGTTCTCACAGAGACTCGAACCGGGGTCGATTCCTTGAGAGGCGAGTGCTCCATCCCTTGATTCATTGCTGCTTTTAAAATGTCGTTTATCACATACCTTTTTCTGATGCTTCTATTTAAATGGATATTTTGCGATAAACGTTTCCAACTGTTACACCCTGTAATAATATTGCAATAATGTGATGCATTTAGATTTTTCCCAGATAGAGCCCTTTACCTTTAAAAAATAACAATTAAAAAAATTACATGAGGAAGTATGTTCTAACATGCTTATCATACGATTCTCATACGCTACGAGATATTTCGACAACATATGCAGTTACAATTAATACAATGGGGATCAAAGCAATATACCGGTTTTAGCTTCTACAGAATTACATGAAATATGAACAATGTTCTACTAATGCTATGAAGGAAAAAAAACATAAAAACCATGACATCAAATTCAAATAAAATTCAGTCTTCTTGATATCTGGACTTGCTTCGTTTTCTCTCAAAACGAGAAAAACGTACCTTCCAAATCAAAGACCCCTTTGGTAAGAAAAAAAAATAAGAGGGGGAAGGTATGGGGAAGTAGAATGAATCTTTCGCGCTGAATTTCCCCTCTACCAACAAACAATAATAAAAATATCGCATACATACACATAACTCCACGCGGTACTCTTACACATGAATCTCGGGGAAAGCCACCAACGGCATAAACCAAAATGAACTGGGAAAAAAGAAGAAAAGATAGAAAAAATATATATCTAGAAAACGCATTACTTGATATTTATAGCTCAGCCTTTTCCATGTTTTCCTCTCTTGAGTTAGGGACTTTTCATAGGGACTTTTAGATGGGTGGGGGGGGGGTAGAAAGAAGGGATACAGAGGAAAACTGTCAATTTTTTTGGTGATAGGATTTTCTGTATTGTATGTATGGCGCAATTAGAAGGGGAGAAATTTCTTGTTTGTTGGCCAACTTGAAAATCTGGAGTATGCTTGGAATCTTACGTTGAATAATCCATCAAAGCTGAATGAGTGTTATAATGTACAGTTGAACCCCGATAGAGCGAACCATCTGTGGACTCGGTAATAAGTCCATTATAAACAATGGTTCGTTATATCCAATTCTTTTGAAGAAAAATATTTTACAGCATACTGTTGGAAGTAATGATTACATTAGTATAATACTCTATTGCTTTTAAGTCATTAAATAAGTAGAGTCTTCCTACTGATAATTTTTTTCTCGTGAAACTTAAATATTCAAAATATTCACCATATAACGAAGTAGTTGT